GGGCCTTGGGAGGGAGGCTGAGGGTGGGAGGAGGGCCCTCAGGAAGTGTGCCTTGCGGGCCTTGGGAGGGAGGCTGAGGGTGGGAGGAAGGGCCTCAGGAAGTGTGCCTTGCGGGCCTTGGGAGGGAGGCTGAGGGTGGGAGGAAGGCCCTCAGGAAGTGTGCCTTGCGGGCCTTGGGAGGGAGGCTGAGGGTGGGAGGAAGGCCCTCAGGAAGTGTGCCTTGTAGGCCTTGAGAGGAAGACCCAGGTCTTGCAGCCCAGTGAAAAGATGACTGTGGCCTACCATGAAGCTGGACATGCGGTGGTGGGCTGGTTCCTGGAGCACGCAGACCCCCTGCTGAAGGTCAGTCATGTGACTGCGTCTGCCAGGGCAGAGTGCTGCCCAGACGCGCTGGGCCCAGCCATGAGGGTCGGGTGTCTGCCACATGGCACAGCACCCACGGGCGTCGCTGGTTAGAGCGTCCACGATGATTCCTTGGGGCTGGAGGCCGGACAGGGCTGTTGGCGCAGGCAGCCTCAGCCATGGGCTCTGGAGAAGCATGGATCGTAAGCTCGCTTGGCGCTGAAGCTTGGGATGTCAGTTCCTGCAGGGTCTTGATGGCTGCAGGGCCAACCTAGGTGGTCTTGATGCTAACAGTCCCAGGGCTGGTGTGGGAGGTGTGGTGTAGGGCCCACGTAGGCCTGGGCAGTACCTGTGGGGACAGACAGGTCCCTCCTGCCTTGCAGGTGTCCATCATCCCCCGGGGCAAGGGCCTCGGCTATGCGCAGTACCTGCCCCGGGAACAGTACCTATACACGAGGGAGCAGCTCTTTGACCGCATGTGCACGATGCTGGGCGGCCGGGTGGCTGAGCAGCTGTTCTTCGGGCGGATCACCACGGGGGCGCAGGACGACCTAAGGAGAGTCACCCAGAGCGCCTATGCACAGGTAAAGGGGCGTCCTGCCTCGGCCCCACAGCCTATGGGCGCGGCTCACCCAGGGCTCCCGTGGTTTCCAGATCGTGCAGTTTGGAATGAGTGAGAGGCTGGGCCAGGTGTCCTTTGACCTCCCACAGCGAGGTGAGGCCCTGGTGGAGAAGCCCTACAGTGAGGCCACAGCCCAGCTCATCGATGAGGAGGTTCGGAGCCTCATCAGCTCTGCCTACGATCGCACTCTTGAGCTGCTGACTCAGTGCCGGGAGCAGGTAGAAAAGGCAAGTGGGGATGGCGGCCGTGCCAGGGCAGCTCAGGGCAGGGCTGTGGAGTCCGGAAGCCTGACAGTGGCCTTGTTCCAGGTGGGCCAGCGGCTTCTCGAGAAGGAGGTACTGGAGAAGGCTGACATGGTCGAGCTGCTGGGACCACGGCCCTTCTCAGAGAAGTCCACCTATGAAGAGTTTGTGGAGGGTACTGGTGGCCTGGAGGAGGACACTGCCCTTCCTGAGGGGCTGAAGGACTGGAACCGGGGACAGGAGGAGGGGGGCACCGAGCCACACTCGGAGGGGAGCCCCACGTAGTGCTGCTGCAGTCAGACCTTCAGGGCAACTGCCAGAACCAGCAGAAAACATATTAAACCAGTGACAGCCACAAACAGGAGTATTGAGGGTGCTGAGGAGCCACAGAGGGGAGCTGGAGTTGGCAGCAGCCAGCCAGGAGGAGGCTCCTAGGCCACAGGGGGAGACATTTCCCCCATGCTCCTGGGTGTGGTGTCAGGCAAGGCTGTCTTCCCTCAAGAGCCTCGCACTGGCTTTCAGTTGAGGTAGAACTCAGTCTCCTGGTGACCCTGGGTGTCTGTGATGCACAGGAGGGTCTTGGCCTAGCCTGGATGTCCTCAGGGCTAGTGTGGGAGAACAGGAGCCTGTGAAAGGCTTTGCGTCGACAAGGTGAGGTGTTCATCAGTTGGGACTCCAGGGAAGGAGACCCTGAGCCTTAAAAGAGCACGGCCAAGGGGCGTGCACCTGGGCCGGGTTGGTGCGCCTTGCTGACTGATGATCCCCAGCTGGGGAGGGGGTTCTGGTACCAGCAGTGCCTCCCAGGGGCAGAGGGGTAAGTGAGACGGAGAGCGATGGTGGAGCACCACTCTGGCTTCCCAGCCTGGTGGCAATGGACCTGTGGGGATAGGGACCGTTGTGAGCACTGGTCCTGTGGACAGAAGGTTCCAGAAGGCACCAATTGGAGCCTTCTGTGGCTGTGCTGGCTGCCTCAGCCCTGGCCTCGCACTGACGACTCCTTTCCACGGGCAGAAGACCTGCTCCAGGTTGTGAGCTCAGTGCCTGTTTAATGCCATGGGCTGAAAGGCCCCTTTCCTTGGCTGAGCATAGTGAATTCTGTGACTGCCGTGGGCTTGAGGGAAAGCCTCCTGTGCATCCTGCCAGTTCACAGGATGGAGAGCTGTGGGCCATCACCACTGACCTGGCACCTCTGTTGCTGGTGACCTCAGCAGTGGAGGTCCAGCTAGAGATAGGCACTTTCAAATCTTGTTTATAAAATGTACCTTATTGAAATTTTTAAACTCTAGGGCTCAGCCTCCACCAAACCCATATTAGCAGAAGCACTTTGGTCCTGTCCTGGGGTGCCTGTGACGGACTTGGGTTGCTCTGTCGGTTGTCACAGCACTGTGGCTGGCAGGACCTCCAGGCTGTGGCGCAGTGCTTGGGCGATGGCTGACCTTGTGCTTGGTTCCCAGGGCATCTGTCCCTGAGGCTAGAATGCCGAGGGCTGTGGTCACTTTCCACATGCCACTCTGACTCAGGGTCCTTTGAGCTGACCCTCCTGTAGGCCTGTCCGTCCTCACTGTATCAGGTCCACCTGTCCTACACCCATCCTTCACTGCTTAATGAGCCAGACAGTCTTGACACCAGAGTTCACCTCACTGCTAGTCCTTAGGAGCGGGACAGGCATTGTGCTGCTGGGGCCCCAGCCATGGAGCCTGGTGTCGGTGGGGTCAAACACCCTTGCCCTGGCCAGAAGTGAGGCAGGCCAGCATGTGCCCACTCCACTTGCCTCCCTGGGAGTAGGATCCGCAGTGTGCCAGGAACTGTGGCCCCTTCCTGAGAACCACACAGGATGGCCCTGGAGTCTGACCACCCGAGACCTCTGCTGCCCCCACCTCAGCCCCTGTGTGATTGGAGTGGGTGGGGCCCGGCCCTGGGGCTCTCCAGTAGCACAGCTGTGGGGCGAGAGGGCTCGGGGACACCTGGCTGGGGCAGGAGTATCACCAAAATGACACCCTGTTTGGTGAGCACAACCTGGTACTGGGCAAAGCCCCCAGGGCACAGGAGGCCCCACACTCCTGCAGGCCTGTGCCTGGGTGCTGGCTAGAGAGGGTGTGGCCATGCTGGGCATGGTGATGCGTGTCTGTAGCCTCAGCACTCCAGGAGGCTGAGGCAGGAGGAGCACCAATTGGAGCCTGAATGGCCAGTGTTGAGAGCCCACCTCAAAAATAAGGCCTGGGGTGCAGCTCAGTGCAAAGGGTTTGATCCTCAGGACCATGAAAAATAAAGACACCCACGGGAGGCTTTCAGATGATGGTGAAGCTTTAATCCCACTCAGCGCGCTATGGAAGCTACAGCGGGGAGGTGGGGGAGGTGCGGCTGACACTGGAGGTACGGTTCTGTGTCCAGGGGCACTGCTCACTGGGAGGCCTGATCTGAGAAGTGGCCCCAAGCAGAGGGACGCTTGAGGGGACCCTGCCGTCCGGGCTTCCAGGAGCGGCTGGTGGGGGTAAAGTTGAGCCTGCAAGGCCTGGAGGGAGGTCAGCTTGCAGTGCAGAACCAGCCTTGGATTCATGGTTGGTCCAGACACCCTTGTGCATCTCCGTCCTACTGGAGAGCGGTGGCCTGGGCCCTCTCAGACATGCAGAGCCAGACCACTTCCTTTGTTCAGCTGACAGGCTTAGGACGTGGGGACAGGTGTGGCGGGAGAGGTGAGCCCTGTCCCAGCAGTCCAGTCTCTGAGGCAGTTGCCATATTTGGTGTTCCAGGGTGGGGAGGAGGTGCACCAGGCCCTCCGTGGCTGTCTTGTAGGGACCCAAAGGGGAGGCACAGGTCTTGGAGTGGCTGGGGAGGGGGCTCTGGTACCAGCAGTGCCTCCCTGGGCAGAGGGGTCGGGGAGATGGAAAGCGAGGTGGAGTCTGTGCCCTGGCCCCATGCGTGGAAGCGTGGTGGAGCACCGGGCGGGCTGCACCAGGCCCGCTCTGGCCTCTGATCCTGGTGGCATGGACCTGCGATAGGGGCCATGTGAGCACTGGTCCTGTGGACAGAAGGTTCCGGAAGGCCCAGGCTGTGCTTGCTTCATCCTGAGCAGTAACATGGCCATGTCGTCCCTGTCCAGGCATGGGCTGCAGCTGGAGGTAAGGCCGCTGGGCTGTGCTTGTGCTGCGTACCCAGAGGCCTGTGGCTGGCAGCCCTTCCCTGGTGCCATTAGGTGACGGCTGGAGTCTTGTGGGGAGGGTGGACCATGTTGCCAGGCCAGGACTGTCTGCATTTGCCTCCATGAAGGCGGGTAGCCTGGCAGACTGAGACTGCCTAGTCCTCCTGGGGCCCCTCCACGGTGAGAAACATGTCCACAGTCGCAGCCTGCCTTTCAGGCTCTCCAACGGGCTGCTTCTCACGGCTCTGCTCAGCCCTTGTCCTTGTCCAGGAGGGGGAGCGCAGGCAGCCAGCCCGTGGCAGCGGGTGCAGACCTGGCAGGAACAGGACATGGACTCAGTGGGCCCTGGCTGAGCTGGTCTGCCTAGCAGGTTGACATGCACATGGGAGGCAGACCTTGTCCCCAGAGGCCCTGCCCCTGTGTGTCCATGCCAGGTGGGAGTTTGCCAGCCTCATGTGCCCCACCATAACCTTTTATCCCTCCCTAAGAGGCTGTGAGGGCTATGGTGTGTGGGCTGCACCCAAGCCTCTGCTTAGCCACTGCCAGTGTGGCCCGAGCACCTCTGGGCTCAAAGCAGTCCAGGACTGGGCAGGGGCTCTCCCCCATGTGCTGAGCCAAGACCCCTGGGATGCATGGACAGGCGGTCGCAGACCCACTTCAGGTCCTCCAAGGGCAGGGCAGGGGAAGCGGAGGTGGGGCCGACAGGCGTGAGGTGGGGACTGGCTCCCTCGCTCGCCCACCCTGTTGCCTGCAGTAGGCATTGAGGTCCATCATTGTTGGAGACACTGCAGGACCCGGTAACTGCCCAGGGGCTTAGGAGAGACCAGAAGCAACGGAGATGTGGGGCCTGCTGGTTGGGGCAGGCAGGGAATGCAGGAAGGCTGGGCCACCCTGTGCCTGTGCTGTCACCTGGAAGGCTGAGCCAGCTGTCATGTGGCTTCAGAGGCAGAGTGATACCAAGTCGGAGTTGCGGAGGGGCCCGTTGCGGAGTGTGCCTCGCCCCGCCTTTGTGCCAGGCCCAAGCTGTAGTTAAAATTCATACTCAGTACATCCCACTTTGAAGAGAATAGCTTTGGCCTCTTGCTCATTTGGAAGTAAAATTAAGTAGAGGTAGTAGTGGAGGAGAGAAATTCCTTTGTGCAGGGCAGACAAGATCGTGAAATGGTGCTTGTTAGGAGGAGTGTGGGTGAAATGAAGTTGTTCTTGTTTTTGGTTTTCTTTTGAGTACACGGTCTCGCTTTGTAGCACAGGTTGCCTAGCTCCCATACCGTAGCCCAGACTGGCCTGGAGCTTAGAGCCTTTCCCTACCTCTGCCTTCTGAGGCCCGGGATTAGAGGTGTGCACCTGCTGCGCCCGCACTCTGCCAGGACTCACCTGCTGGGGAGTCACTGCTCAGGTTCTCATCATCAGAGTCAGCAAAGACCTCGGCCAGCTCCTGGTCAGACATGTCAGTGAGCTCAGTGAGGTCCAGGAGGTCGAAGTGGACCTCCAGAGAGGAGACGCTGCTCAGGGGCTCTGGGAAAGGGCACAGGAAGCACAGTCACCTCACAATCCCTGGGGAGGCCTCACGGGCCGCGAGGGCCGCCTGACCCCAGGTCTGGCCTGCACACGAGCTGGGCACATCCAGGCTCTGGGTCTTCTCGTGGCCCGGCCCTGTGCTGCAGTGCTGCCCCCTTACCCAGTGCCTCGGTTCCTGTGAGATCCGGGTCTCTGTGGGTGCTAGGCAGACCGCAGTACTTACGCCTCCTCTCTGTGACCTGCAGGAGACCTGGTGTGGGGATCGGGATGCCTGCCTCCTCCTCAGCCGCAGGCAAGTGGCCGCTGTCCCCTGTCCCATGGGCTGGGACACCCAGGGCAGCCTGTGGCACCTCGACCTCCTTAACGGTCCCTGCAACAAGACACAGCATCACCTCGAGACTTAATGGGGCCCTCGCGTGCCCTAGCGCCTAGATCTGGGAGCAGGAGAGGAGAGTGCTGCGGGGGTGGCAGCGCAGCACGCGTGCTCTGGTGGCCTCTCGTTCTTTCCCTGGGAACCAGCTTGTCCCGTCCGTTCCAAGCCCTCGCATGTTTGAGTTCAGAGTGGAAGTCGCATGATGGGATGGGAAGCAGCCACCTGTGGTTCTTGTGGCGTCTGCCCGGCCCCACCGTACGTACCATGGGGTGAGTGTTCTTTCGGGTTGTTCCTGTGCAGATTTTGAGGGGGGCCAAAAATGCAATTGCTTGGTTTTTGGGGGTGCTGGTGGTGGTTCGTTTTTTGAGACAGGGTGTCACTATGTAGTCCAGGCTGTCCTCAAATTTTCAGCAACCTTCCTGCCTCAGCTTCCTGCATGCTGGGATTGCAGGTGTGCATTACCACCCTGGCTGGCTTGCTCATTTTTATTTGTATTTTAGTACAGGGTCTCACTACGTAGCTCAGACTCCTGGTGATTCTCCTGTTTTTAGCCTCCCAAGCCCTGGGGTTAGAGGCATGCACTACCACACCCAGTCTCAATCGCTGTCTCAGCGCGCCCTGCGGGTGGGGCTGGCGTGGCACGCCAGGGATCAAACCCCAGCTGCTGCGTCTGCCTAAGCAGGCGCTTTAATTTACTCGTATTTAAAAATAATTTATTTTTTATTTCTTAAGTAATTTGTACAGGGTCTCACTACACAGCTTGGACTCGTAGTGATCCTCCTATTTTCAGCCTCCCCAGTGCTGGGATTACAGGCGTGCGCCCCCATGTCCAGACTCCTTCGTGGCTCAGTGCGCTTTGGGGGCAGGGCCCACACAGCATGCAGGACCGGGGATTGAACCCTGGTCCCTGTACTTGCCAAAGCAGGTGCTTAGTCCGCTGAGCTATCTCGCCAGCCTGCTCATTTTTAAAATACTTTTTCTCTGTCTGGCAAGGGCAGAGGTCCTTCCAGGCCCTGCTGGTGCTAGCACCGCTGTGCCTTCTGGGTACTTGAGCCAGTATGTCTGGGTTCCTCTGGACTCTCCCCACCTGCAACTCCTGGGTCTCGTTCAGGTGCTCCAGAGCCTTCCCAGCACCCTCCCCTCCTACCCAGCTACATAGGCCCAGTGCAGCTGCCCTGTCTTTCCACACACAGCCAGAGTAAGGTGGAATGATGTCTAAGGGCCTGGGGCGAGGCGCCACTTCCCTGTCCTGGCCCCTCTCAGGCCAGGCTTCCTGGCTGCACCCAGTACCTGTGTGGAAGGGCCCCTGCCCCTGCCACAGCACATCAGCGCGTGCAGCCTACCCTCGGGGGCGCATGGGAGTCCGGGTGCTCTGGGCAGCCCTGGTGAATGGTGAGCACCCTGTGGGGCCCTCCTGTCTTGTGGGGGATGGCACGGGTGCTGCCTGGCAGGACACACAGGTCTGGGATGTCACTGCCCCCCACCCCAGCTGAGCATGGGTCAGAGCTGTTGCCCTGGCCTCCTGAGGGAGCCAGGGCCAGGAGGGGGGTGAAGGCAGGGGCTCACCCTCCCTGCCCAGTTAGCTGTGGGCACAGGCGATCTGGTTTCTACCTCTCCCCTGGCAGCAGCCATGTGGTTTTGGTGTCCTTGAAAGGTACAGTTCCACTTACCAGTGTCTCCTCAGCTCCCAGGCCCAGCAAGGGCGCAACCCCACCCAGGGGACCGCCTGCCATAGCAGAGGACAGTAGAGGGGCCACGGCCCAGGTATGCCTTCCTGAGGACTCAGGGTTTTATTCCTGTCCTGCAGGCCTATGCCAGGGTCACAGATCTAAAATGCTTCCCACAGCTCAGAGCTGGCTGTGTGAGCGGGCCAGGCCATCTGTGTGCCCTGAGCGGGGGATAGACAGGTGGGGAGACTGAGGCCCGGGGGGAGTAAGTGACTTCTCTGTCTCAGAGTGGAGGGTCCCGGTTGGCCTTCAGCCCCACACTGCCCTGCTTTGCCCTAAGGGGCGTGTCCTCCTCCTCCCAAGGCCCGCTGAAACAGGACCCTGGGCAAGGTGGTTCTGCAGGGTGTCCCCTGGAGCTGCCCCATCCTGGGAAGGTGATGGAGGAGAGTGCTGGGGGTTCTCTGCTGTGTGCCAGGCTGAACAGTGTTCCGCACGGTCCCTTGACATCACTCTGAACAGCTACAGGGAGGGCATGGACAGAGGTATGAATTAGGGCTGCACCTGTCGAGGCAGCAGCTCAGGGCCAGCCTCTGAATGCAGGTCAGAGCTGGGGTCTCCTTGCAGCTGTCTTCCATTGGCATCCTGGAGCAGCAGCCTAGTGTGGGCTTTGGGGAGGCCTGGAGGGCCCGAGAAGCCAGAGGCAGGCAGCAGCCAGCAGCCTCAGGCCTGGCCAAGTGTCCCCAGCGCATGCAGAGGTCTGCAGAGGAGTGCGGCTCCAGTGCAGAGCACACCCTGGCCGTGAGGCAGGCCTGGGGGTGGGGTGAGGGTGGTGGGGCAGTGGCTGTGGGGGGATGCGCAGACCGTGTGGGCGTTAGCGGACCTGGTTTCTATTCTGAGCAAGCGGCCAGGAGAAGCTGCGAAGGCCTGGCGCTCCCCTCCATCCCTTTCATGGTGCAGCCAAGGAGGAGGAAGTCCAGGAGGACAGGACTGCTGCTGCTGCGCTCTCTCCTGTGCTGACACAGGACCCCCGTGCTGGGCTTCAGCCAGAGAGGGGCTCTGTCCTCTTGTAGTGGGGAGGGACTGGGCCCGCCCTGGGAGAGCCCTCTGGCCCCCTGCCCCGCAGCTCCAGATGACTCCGCGAAGCCTTCTCCCCATTTTAGCAGGAGGTGGGGTGATAGAGTGAGTGGGCACAGTGTGTACCCTGAAACTTTAAAAAACAAAATTGCAGTGCTGGGGCTGCGCCCTGAAGCCTCAGGCACACCAGGCAGGCATGCTGGCCCTGGCCCTGAGTCCTAGCCCTGGAGCCTGCGAGCCTCTTGGTCCTGAGGCAGGGCTGGGGTGGGTTTTGAGCTCACTCAGCTCCCTTCCCCTGTGAACCCCAGTACCCCGGGCTCTATCAGAGCATGAGGGAAGAAGGTGGAGAAAATACAACTTGTGCCGGCAAGAAATAGCTTGGTGGTCTAAGCACCTTCCTGTCCAGCGCAAGCACCCAGGCTCGATTCTCAGTATCGCAGACTGTGCCAGTCCTGGAACCTCAGGAATGCCGTGCTGGCCACCGAAGCTGGGGGTGGTGGTGCGTACCTGTAATCCCAGCGCTGGGGAGGCTGAGACAGGAGGTCACTAAGAGTGTGAGCTGCAGAGCGAGACCCTGTACCAAAATAAATAAGAAAGAACATGGCTCTTGGCTGGAAGGATGCGGTGGAAAGAGGGGACAAAACAGGGACAGGGGAGGGGGAGCCCCTGAGGGCCGGGTGTCAGCATATACAGTGGTGCAGCCCGCCCGTGGGAATGCAGCTGCATTCCTAGGTTCAGAGCACACCGTGGGGATGAAGAGACCCCAAGTGGGCTGCCCACAGTATGGAAGACTATGCAGCAATGTAAAGGAATGTGTAGGTGGGCTTCACAGACAGCACAAAGAATGCAAGAAACAAGGGTCCAGAAGAGGCAAATCGTGACGAGTGGCTCAGTGATGGCTGGGGGGTGGGGGGAAATGGCTTGGGTTTTTAAGCGGTGATAAAAACTTTAGTGGTGGTGACGACTGTACAGCCTTTGGGATGTAATAAAAGCATTATGTGCTGCACGAGGGTGACTATGGTGTGTGAATCACTTCTCAGCTACAGAATCAGCTCAGCATGGTGGTGCAGCCCTGTAATAGCATTCAGGAGGCTGAGGCAGGAGGATTGCTGGAAATTGGGGCCATCTGCTACACAGGAGTTCAAGATCAGACTAGACTACATAAGCTAGACTTTGTCTCAAGAAACAAAACATTTCAAAGCTTGGTAAATGAAAGGGTGAAGGATCTCGAGACTGCTGCGCTGAATCACCCACGTCCTTTCCCTCCCTCTCAGCACGCTCTCGTAGGAGGGACAAGCAGATTCTCACAGGCGGACACAGGTGGATGCCGCAGCCTGGCTGGAGAGCCAGGGCAGGGACGGCTGTGTCCAGATCCCTGTCCCCACCTCTGTCCCAGCACCGCCCCTCTCAAGGAGGAGCCTCCAACAGGTCTGCCACCACGTGCCCTGCAGGTGGAACTGGAGCTTGGGACCGCAGCCCTGCCCTCCGTGTCCCTTGATGCCTAGTGCTGGTACCTGGGTTCTGTCGATGGCCTATTTTCCAACACATCTGTGACTGTAAATTTGGCCCAAATCTCATTCTCTACTGGGCTTCTGGGGCTGTACCACTGTGCTCGTCACCAGACAAATGGATTAATGAAATGAATCAGTGACTGTAAGTCAGAATGGCTGTGGGGAGTGGTGGCTCCGAGGTCAGGCCCCCTGTGTCTCGTCTCCCCAGCACCCTGCCCCTGGATCCAGACCCTCTCTGGGTGCTGTGGAGGTGGGGCTGATGTCTGGTCTCTCAGGCCCCCTCGCCCTCCCAAGGACAGACTTCAAGGCCAGGGTGTGTTTCACTCATGTATTTTGTTTGTTTTGAGGCAAGGCCTCACTGTGTAGTGCAGGCTGGCCTTCAAAAGGCAATCTTCCTGCCTCAGCTTCCTGAGTGCTGGGATGACAGGCACATGCCACCTCACCTGGCTTACACATTATGATATTAAGAATTGCTGTTCATTTAGGGGCAAAAATGCTGTTTTAATGATGCCTTGTAAAATTTTAACTTTTAATTGCTTACATGGCTATGTATAAACCATGCCCAGATTCACCTAAAGCTCTCCTGAAAGGAGCTTGGCTGGCTGGATGAGCAGCCACGACTCGTGCTCATGCCTTGTTCTGGGGACCCGAAGGTGGGACGCGGAATTTATCTTACTGGTCTTGCTTTGCGTTCTCCAAAGTAAAGTTTCAGAAGTAAGAAAGATGTAGGGAAAGGTCAGTTATCAACTTGAGGGTTCATGAGGGCTGTAAGAGAGACCACAGCTCAGGGTACAGAAGGGAGGAGAGCACAAGTGTGTCCCCAGGGGCAGCCACCTTGTAAGCCCTACACACTGAAACCCTGCATGCTGAACGCACTAGGTACCTGAAGCCCCAGGCTAGAAAGTAGTGTACTCTCAGTCATCGCTGCTCCCTGAGCTCTGGGCACTTGCCTAAAGCCTTTCCTTCCCCAGAGGTGGAGGTGAGGTGGGTAGGAAAGACCCAGCCTCTTCCCCCAAATGTCCTATCCTTCCATCTTCCTGCGTGTGCGTGGGGGGGGGGCTGCTGTCCCACACATGGTTGTGGAAACAGGCTCGGGAACAGCGTCTTAGCTCAGAGAGCTCTGAGTCCCCAGCCCCTGCTCTGCAGACTCACTCCTTTATGGTGCCCTCCCCCAAGCCGCTGCTGGGGAGACCCAGAGCCCTGAGCTGTCCATAGCAAGAGCTCAGATCCCTTCCCACCAGTGCCAGAGGGGGAGATGAGACCCACGTTCCGAGCCCTTTCCTGTGTCTGCTGTTTTAAGGCCGTGACAGGGGTCCCCAGCACACTCCCCCAACCTGATAGAGGAAGCCACTGATGGGGTGGGGGTGGGGTGCCGGGCTAGCCTGACCCCAGACGCCCAGGCTTGTAGGGCTAGGAGCTCGGGACCCTCGGGGAGCTGTCAAGGCTGGCGGGGCAGGGGGAGGGGCTCCGTTCTGCGTGCGAGTCTAGGCCATGGATCCTGCACCCCTCTGGGAAGGTACTGGGAGAGAGGGGCTTAGTTTCTCCCCATTGTCAGCCACCACCCAGGCTTGGGCCGAATCCCACGGAGGGCACCCGGCCGGCTTTGGGCTCCCAATCCAAGGGTCCTCAAGGCTGCACCCGCGCACCGCCCCGTGGACCCCACCTCCGGCGCCGCGCCCCCAGCCCGTGGCCGCGGCTGCGCGAACAAAGCCAACGCGGGACCACTACCCAGACGGACTGGCCAGGAACCCCGCACCCCGCCTCCTCCCAACGCAGGCTGGGCTGGGGGTGTCGGGGCAGCTGGCCCTAGCACGGCAGCGTCAGGCGAGGCTGCAGGGCCCAGCCGGGGACGGTCGGAGAGGGGCGGGGACGGGTGGGGACGCGAGTGCGGGGTGCAAGGCAGCCGGGCCTCTAACCCAGCCCGGCGCACGGCGGGGCGCACTCACCTCCCGGGCCCTCCGGGGGCTCCATGCGGCCGGTGGGCGCAGCGGGGGGCGCGGGCGGCGTCACCCGGCCCGAGCGCGCCAACAGCTGCTGCGGCGATTTGGCCCCGGCTCCGGGCGCAGCGCATCGGGGCGGCAAGCGGGGGGCCGCGGCGGCGGGGAGGAGCCCGCGGGGCGGGGCGCACAGCTGCTCCTGGGCCGCGATCCCTTCTGCATGTCGCCGGCCCGCTGGACAGGTGCGGCCCCGCCCTGCCCGCGCGCGCCCCCTACCGGCCCGGGCTGCGGACCCCTCCCCAGGCCCGGCTCCCTGCGCGGTGCGCCCCTAGCTGAGACTCCCGGGAGGTAAGGGATGCGTGCGGCCTGCCGAGCACGGACTGGCGCTGCAGCTGACAGTTACGGTGCAAATCCACACGGAGGGCCCGCACGGGGCCTAGATGGTTAGAGGCAAGGCCGGGGGCGTGGGTAGCGCACCTAGGACCTGAAGTCCGAGCCTGGACTAGCTGAGCCTGCCCAGGACTCCCAGAAGTGGGCACGCTCCTCCAGGCTCAGCATGCCAACCTACCCCTCCCCCACCACGGAGGATCGTATCACGTAATGCAGAGCCACATCCCAGCACCTCTCCCTCACTTTTTTTTGCAGTTGTGAGCACCGTCTCTCTAAGCTGCGCAGGCCTGTGCCTTTCTGCTGCGGTCTCCAGTAGCTGGGGTAGTTGGCATGTACTGGTGCAACCACCCTGTGCCAAGTTCTCTGGGCGCACATCTCATGGCTTCTCCGGCTTTCCAGGAAGGAGGCATTTTGATTTTCAGGCAAAGAAGCTGAAGACAGAGGTGGCAACCCACTTGATAACCTGCTCAGAGTGGCACAGCTTGGGCTAGAAGTCAGCCCAACGCAGCTCATGCTTTGCATGCTGACAGAAACGAGCGGCACTCGGGGAGGAAGGGTGTGTAGTATGGCCGGCCGTGGAAGAGGTGTTAGCTGCAGGGAGGTGCAGAGCCGCGCGCCCTAAACAGCTGCAGCAGCTAGCCAAGGCTCCAAGCCCTGGCTTCCTGCTCGGCCCAGGCTCATTGGCAGACTCTGGCCTTTGAGCCAACTGCAGACTAATAGTTCCTTTTTTAATCTGGTTTATGAAACAAACCCCACTCGAGTCCTCGAAAGTGCTTTCTGTAGGATAACAGAGCTGCCTGCCCCCAGTGCCAGCCAAGGCAAGAATTTATTTTCCAGGAGCAAGCTGTGCTGCAGAGTAGCTGCTGGTGGCAGGCTGTGTTTTCCCTAAATAAATACAGCAGTTAAAGACAAAGGCCACAGCAGTATTCCTTCCTGAACCTTCCACTTCCATCAAAACACCTCTGGTTAAACAATATCAGGACAAATAACACACGATGGATGTGCTGTAGTGGGGCTCCTCGTGGCTGGGCCCTAAGACGGCTTTGACGGAACAAAGTACCTTGTGGGAAGGACACCCACGCTGGCGAGACACTGCCCGCTTGTGCCCTGCAGGGGGTGCCCTGAGGGCCCGGGCGGCAGCCAGCCTCACCAGGAAGTGTGAGTGAGTGAGGATGAGGAGCCCCACAAAGGCACGGCCACATTGCAGATTCGTGAGCAAGACACATGAAGGTCACCTGTGAAGCCTCTGCATCAGGGCTCCTTTACACACCCAGAGCACCTGTCATGACAGTTGTGGGACTGCAATTCCCAGCTGAGAGGTAGATAAATGGCAGAGGGGCTCATGTCAAAGAGGGAGATTGCAAGTACAGGTGAAGCTTTAGGGCTCACCTACAGTTCACTTCTGGCCGTTCACTCTGTTCCTATAACTGGTCATCAACAGGTAATCTATATACAAAATATTTTATATATATTTGGTACTGGGAATGGAACTCGTGACCTTTCACTTGGCAGGCAGGCGCTGAACCACTGAGCTATATCCCCGGCCCCTTGTACTGGATGTTCTCAAGCTCACACTTGGAGAGAATGGTGACGCGAACCCGCCTGTCACCCTGACCCGACAGCCTTGAGCTCATATCTGGTCTCTGTCCTTAGATGCCTCCCTGCTGCTGGATTGTTGTGGAACAAATTTTATATACATCTGTCATTTCTTTTTTTAAAAAATGGATGTTACTGTTACATTTTAGGCAGACATAATGATCACATTCATCACAGAGAATTCGTACCTGTACGTGATATAACCTGGGTCTTCCCCCCATTCCCCTGCCCTCCCTTGGCCCCCTCCTCCCTCCCCATTAACAAAATACCATTTCCTTTTTAAATGCTTATTTATGTAAATGGGTCTTGCTATGCTGTTCAGGCTGGCCTTGAACTCACTTTGTAGCTCAGGCTGGACTCAAACTCACAGCGATCCTCCTGCCTCAGCCTCCTGAGTGCTGGGATTACACATACACACTGCCTTGCTGGCTATTATTTATCTCTAAAACAAGGTCCAGTCCTGTTACCCTTACATCTGGAACTTCAGTGAGTTACTCCTGAGATATTTTACCTGAAAGACTTGAGTCATTGTTTTAGGAAGTCAAACAGTGGACAAAATGTTCAGTTGGTTTTTATGTATTAACATCCTCTTGGAGGTTTTGCCAGAAGCTGGAATGTCATTTGTTTGAGTTCCTGAGCTGCACAGTGTGATGCTGAATAAAAACTTTTTAAACCACATATGTGTGGAAAAGACTTCTAAAAATAAGCGCTGGAGTTCAATATGAAAAGCATACATCACAGCTGGCCTTGCTGGGAGCTGGAAGTCTGCAGCCAGGGCTCCCTCAAACATCGGTCTCTGCAGTCCATGTTGATACGCCAAGCCATTGACATGTGACAAATGGATACCCAGTCTAGGCTATTCCGAGCTAGCCCTTCTGTGCTTGCCCTTTTCGCTGAAAGAAGTTATTGTTAGTGCATTTATTTAGTTCAGAAATCCTTGCCAGACTTGTAGAGCAAAAAGCAGTCAGCACAGAGCGCCTAGGATGCTGCATCTGGCAAGTGCTGATGATAGCAAGTACCCCGCTGAGCCGCCCGGCTGCATGGTCTGCCCTGCCAAGCGCCTGTGGGCGCCCCGCTGCCACTCCAGCCTTGGCAAGGAGGCTTCCGTCGGGCAAAGAGGCCTCTCGTTGTTCAGCCTCAGTAGCTGGGCCAGACTCGACCCTACTAAAAATAAAGCATGCCAGGGCTCTGTGCTCCGAGTCAGGAGTCTTCCGCCAGCCTTTCCTCTCCCAGAACACGGAGTTTGGGGGTGAACAGGAGCACTGTCCATAGCACTGGGGACCCCACCCACCCCCAAGCGAGGTTGGTGATCTTGGCTAGGTAGGGATTCCTGAGCCTTGCTTTATTACCCTTTGCCCCATCTTTGCCCCCAAATCGTAGGAAGCAAGACCTGCTATGAGACTACTTTTTTTTGGCTAGCTCAGCCCACCCTGGGGATTGAACCTGCAGTCTCTGCACTTGTCTAAGCTTGCCTAAGCAGGCGCTTTAGACTGCTGAGCTATCGCGTCGGCCTGAAACCACTTTTTAAGATAATGGTAAAACTGAGCTTCAGAAAAAGCAAAACACCAAGTGGTGCATAAGGACAGGCATCAGGCTGAAGATATGGCTTGGTGGCACAGTGCCCGGTGCCTGCCTGACCCGCGCAAGGTCCTGAGCTCCATTCCCAGTACCACACACACACACACACACACACACACACACCCCTCCTTGTATACAGGCAATAGAGTGGTTGCAGGGGTTGGAAATGCACCTTGGAAAACGTAAAATAGCAGTTTTCAGAGCAAGTAGTCAGGAAAGGAAGCGGCAGATTTCATTTCCAGAGCTTGTCTGGAAGCCTGTGGCAGGGGGTGGATGGGGCCACAGAGGAGGTATCTTCAGGGAGAGCAGTTTGTTTCTTGAAGGGGACAATTCCTTTTGGAATAACAGCTGGACACTTTGGGGTCAAGTGGGAACTGAGCTGTCTTTCCCGTTTGTTTGTTTCCCTGAGGGTTGCTGGAAACCCCGCTCTGCTATTCTTGACGCACCACAAGCGGAGGGAAGGGTCTTCTAAGGGTTTCGGGGTTGTTGAGTCACAGGCAGATTCTCCACCAAAATCCAACCCAGTCTGGATAACGTTTCGAGCTTTGGGCGGCCCCTGCCCATTCATTTATTGCTCTCTTCGTCAGCTCACCCGCTCATCCTTGCTGACAGCACCTGCCTAGCACGGTTCCCAAGCTTTTTGGGACCAAGGACCTATTTCTTGGAAAGCAGTCTCCCGCCGACTGCGCGCTCGGGTCTGCCTTTCCCGGCGGGTGCGCCTTCCTCGGCGGGGTGCGCCTCTCCCGGCGGGGTGCGCCTCTCCCGGCGGGGTGCGCCTCTCCCGGCGGGTGCGCCTTCCTCGGCGGGGTGCGCCTTCCTCGGCGGGGTGCGCCTTTCCCGGCGGGGTGCGCCTTCCTCGGCGGGGTGCACCTCTCCCGGCGGGGTGCGCCTCTCCCGGCGGGGTGCGCCTCTCCCGGCGGGGTGCGCCTCTCCCGGCGGGTGCGCCTTCCTCGGCGGGGTGCGCCTCTCCCGGCGGGTGCGCCTTCCTCGGCGGGGTGCGCCTTCCTCGGCGGGGTGCGCCTCCCTCGGCGGGGTGCGCCTTTCCCGGCGGGGTGCGCCTTCCTCGGCGGGGTGCGCTTTCCTCGGCGGGGTGCGCCCCTCTCGGCGGGGTGCGCCTCTCCCGGCGGGGTGCGCCTCTCCCGGCGGGGTGCGCCTCTCCCGGCGGGTGCGCCTTCCTCGGCGGGGTGCGCCTTTCCCGGCGGGTGCGCCTTCCTCGGCGGGGTGCGCTTTCCTCGGCGGGGTGTGCCTCCCTCGGCGGGGTGCGCCTCCCTCGGCGGGGTGCGCCTTTCCCGGCGGGGTGCGCCTCTCCCGGCGGGGTGCGCCTCTCCCGGCGGGGTGCGCCTTCCTCGGCGGGGTGCGCCCCTCTCGGCGGGGTCCGCGCTCGCCGCGCCCGGCGGCCCTCCGATCTGACAGGGGGCGGCCCCGAGGCGCGGGAGCGGCGGCAAGCCGGCGAGGCTCCGTTCGCGCGCCCGCAGCTCGCCTCCGGGGGCTGTTCGCTCGGTTCCCACAGCGGCCCGGGGGTCGAGGCCCCTGGCTGCAGGACTTCTGCCTCGGTGCCCGAGTCCTGGGGGACCCCAACAATAGACGAACGCCCTCTCCCCTTGAGGCAGCGTCTCGCGGCGGTGCTCCTGCCCCTCGATTGCTACAGGTGTGCGCTAGCACGCCTGCCTCTACACAGTGGCCTTCAGGGAAGGCGGGGAGAGCAGGCGTCCCAGGGACCACGCGGGCCGGCCTTGCCGCACCAGCTAGCGCAACCCACCGCTCCTTCCGGGTGCGCGACACGTCTCGCGAGGATCCCCGAGACTTTGCGCGGTATCCCGCGGCCTGGTTGCCGGGAGACAGCGCCGCGGTCTGAGCTGCAGTTGCTCTCGGTCCTAGCCAGCGTCATGGTGAGTCGGGGTGCGGGTCCAGGGTCCCGCACACGGAGGCCTTGGGGCGGCAAGCGCGGTGTTCCGGGCCTGCGTGGGTGGGGAGGCCCCTGTCGCGGGAGGGCGCGCACGTAGAGCCCGGAGCGGGCGCACTGAGCTCGGGGTTCCCAGGGTTGGCGCTGCGCGCTCGGGCCGGGCCTGCGCTCGGCGGAACCGAGGCTGCGTTCCCGGGCCTGTGTGTACCGATCGGCCCTGCAGCCCGCGCAGATCCAGGCGCGGGGTGCGAGCGCTCCCGAAGAGAGACCCCGGGTCTCTCTGATCCCGGAACCCGGGGCTTCGCCTGGAGCGGCCTCGTGGAGAAGCGTGGGGTGGAGGGTCCGGGACACGCGGCCCTGGACCCATTTCCACCGGGGAGCCCTGGCACGCGGTCCAGGTGCCGCTTCGGGTGATAGTTGCTGCTTCCATAACTTCTTCCCCAGCCCTCCCCTATCACCTTCCCCGGGGATGCCTCATTTTGAGCCTAAGTAAACCTGCATTCCCAGGATTGTTGCGGCCTCGGCCGTATGCCAAGGAGAGAATGGGTTTGGAACAGGCTCCTCGTTTACAGGGAGAAAGTGCGTTTTTCTGCAAGGCGCATCTTCCCCTTTGCTTCTTCACCCTGTGTGTCCGCAGGTTGTGTGAGGGCGAGGGTGGGAACGTGCAGGAGCAGCCTGCACAGTGACGTGGTCCGGTGAGGGCTTCCCCGGGGGCGTGAGAGAGGAAGCGAGGGCCAGAGGGACCCGTAGGTCCTTCCCAAATGCCCAACGAGAGCCTTCCAAGAAGGGGAAACCACTTGGTGGGATTATTTTACTTACCCAGTAAGTTTTCTTCAACCCAAGGCACCCAAGAAGAAAGGGAAGAAAGGTAAACCCAAGGGCACTCCGATCGTGGACGGCCTTGCTCCCGAGGAGATGAGCAAGGAGCAGGTGAGCAGGGCCCGCGCCGCGATCCCGATCCCGGGGAGGCGACCTCGGGGAGGTGGTGCCGGCTCTCCTGGCTAGCAGCTCCCCGCTGCGCCCTTCTTCCCTTGGCCTCAAGCTCCCTGTTCTGTCCAGAGCAGCTCCGCCTCCCTCCTGTGCGCGGGTTCCATCAGCCCCAGCTTTCACGGGGCGAAGTGGTGCTACTTGTAATCCTAACGCTTGAGGTGCGGAGGCAGGAGAACTGCAAGTTGAGGGACAGCCTGGGCAACTCACTGGGGTGCTGTCTCCGAAACAGAAACCAACAAAGGACCCGGGAGGAAGCTCGGTGCTAGTGCTTGTGCAGCGTGTTGAGGCTCTGGGTTAAGAGTGCGCGCACACGCACACGCACACACGCGCACACACGCACACATGCGCACACACACACACACACACACACCCCAGCAAAAAAGCAAAACAAACGAAAAATAACCCCAAACCATCCACATTAAGAACTTTTTGTGGTACTGGGGATCAAACTCAAGACCTAGTACTTGCCAGGCAGGCACTTGTGTCGCTGAGCTACATCCCTGGCCTCTCATTAGGGAACTTTCTAATGAGGCAGTAGGAATTTAGAAGAAAATATCTTTGTGATATAATAGCTATTTTTAAATTTCTGTGTTCTTGGGGCTGGTGAGATGGCTCAGTGGTCTAAAGCACCTACTTAGAACAAGCTTAGCAAAGCACAGGGACCCTGGTTCAATCCCCAGCACCACATGCCAGCCGGCTGCCCCCTGGTGGGCTGAGCTGGCCACACACACACACACACACACACACACACACTTAAAAATAAATAAATAAATAAATAAATTCCTGTGTTCTTTTTAGCCTGATCCCATTGTGCACCTGGTGTTCACAGAGCTGGTATTTTACCGTACACATGTATGGCATGCCCTTTGATTCACCATTAAACGTTATAGCGGAAAGAAGGTTTTTGAAAGGAGAATGATTTACCTAAAATCATTGTCCCAGTATGATTAAGGTATTGTTGTTGACAGGCGTTCTACCCAGAAGAAATGGGTCTTTTTCTTTTGAATATTATATATAATGTCTGCCTGTCTGGGTGTCTATCTCAACATGGAAGGAGCACTGTGAACCAGAGCTGCAGCTGAGTGTGGGCCTTCGAGCCGTGGCCCTGGTGCTTTGTTCACATGCAGGGAGCTCAGGGCTCTCCTCTGACGCGAGGGTGGGGACCAGATAGATGAGCGCTGCACTGCGGGCAGGCGGCCTGAGCTCTTCCTTGGACCTGGCTGCTCTCCATCCCTGTGGGGCTGAGCCACAGCTCTGATGCACTGGTGGGTCGGTGGTACTCCGTGTCCACAGAGCTGGGGCTGCCACTGCACGCGGGGCAGTTGAGGTACAAACTCAGAGGCTTCTGGGTCCAGCAGGGGCTGGGAAGCAGACCACCTGGAAACTCAGGCCCCTCCCCGCACAGGGCAGGTTCACCAGACCGTTGCCCACAGAACACCGGGTTCCAGGGCTGTTTGTTTTCAGATTTGACTTGTCTTTTTTTTTTGGCAGAACTGGGGATTGAACTCAGGCCCTTGTGCTTGCCAGGGAAGCGCTTATTCCACCGAGCCATCTCCTCAGCCCCTGTCTTTTTCTTTGAGACACAGTGTTGCTGTGCAGTTCAGACTGGCTTTGAACTCATCATGTAGCCCAGGTTGTCCCTGAACTCTTGTCAATCCTCCTGCCTCAGCCTCCCAAGTGCTGGGATTACAGGTGTGCACCACCACATGTAGCATGTTTCCTGATTTTTCAAGAGAAACTAGAGAAGTGGACATGGGCAGGAAATAAAGTATTTAGTGATGACAGAGCCTAACACCCTGTGAGCCAACCAGAGCTGATAGGAAGCCTGCGTTCAGCTTTTCAGTGGTGCTGAAGTGTTGAGCTGTGAAGACGCCATTTTTTCTGAGGTGGTAGTCAGATTTAGGGGTGTTGTGTACACTTGGGGATGGACCCAGCTGCTGGCCTGTGGTTGGTTTTCTTGGGGTGAAGAAGGTGGCTTCCCTGCGGGAATGTGGTTTTGGGAAAGAGGAAACGGTATGGGTATGGCCTGGGGCTGTGTCTAGGGCTACCAGACAGGAGCCCCAGGACCTGGGACGCCTGTCCTGCTTTCTTCCTCATTCTACTTGCAGATTTGCAGCTGGCTCGGGACCAAAGTCTGCTGAGCTTTAGATGTTGACCGGTTTTGTGTATTTTTTGCTTAACATCGTACCTTTAAAGGGGGATATTTTATCACATATTTTGTTGACCTGTTTACATGCTGCCCCGTCATTTTCATGTTTTTTTGTATATTTTTCTCCTAGTTGACATGCTATAGCTTTCAGCCATTTTTGTATTTAAAATTGTCTTACATAATTTCACTATTTTTTTATTTTGTGTTTTTGAGACAAGGTCTAACTGTGTAATTCAGACTGGCCTAGAGGTTTTTTTTTTTTTTTTTTTTTTGTCTCTTTGAGACAGGGTCTCGCTATGCAGTTCAGGCTGGCTGTGTGCTCACTTTGTAGCCCAGGCTGGCTTCAAACTCGCAACACTCCTCCCGCCTCAGACTCCCAAGTGCTGGGATTAAAGAAGTGCATCCCATGCCTGGCTTTATTTTTAGGTTTTTGTAGTTATAATACAAAAGGGTTTTGTTGTTATTTTTATAACAATAGTGAACTCAATACCTCTAAGCCAAAAGCTGTTACTTCTTTTTGGAAGTTCCCAAGAAGGACTGAGTAGATACACCTGCTCCATGATTATCAGCTAAATTCAAGAGATTCTGCCATTTGCTGCATGGTCTAGGGACCTGCCTCAGTTATTTAAGCACCTGCTCATGCAAATGCAGTTCGATCCCCACCTCCACCTGCATTAGCAGACCTGCCCTTAAGGCAGCCTGAGCCAGCCCCCCCCCAAAAAAAAAAGCCATTGTCAACTGTGACAACTGCAGGGTCTCAGCCCTGAAGCCTCCAGGCAACAGGCTTTAACTTTTCATTTGGGGCTTATTTTTGGAGAGATGGCCCCTCCCCTTCCTTACTGCCTCCACACCCCTTGCCAGGGCCCCCCATGGCGCGAGGCCTTAGGGCCCCTGACTTGTGTGCCTGGCCAGGTGGAAGAGCATGTCGCTCGCATCCGGGAGGAGCTGGACCGAGAGCGGGAAGGACGTAACTACTTCCAGCTGGAGCGGGACAAGATCCACACGTTCTGGGAGATAACTCGGAGGCAGCTGGAGGAGAAGAAGGCAGAGCTGCGGAACAGAGACCGGGAGATGGAGGAGGCTGAGGAGCGGCACCAGGTGGAGATCAACGTGAGTGAGGCTCAGCACAGGGCCGGGCCGCGGGCACTTTCCGTCCTGGCGCTGGGTTCCTGGAAGGCCAAGGAGAGGAGACCAGATCCCTGCAGGGATCTGGGGCCTGGGGCCTGGGGCTGTGCAGGCAGGACGGCAGGACGGCAGGACGGCAGGACGGCAGGGCAGAGTGACCTCCCTGCAGCCTGGCTCTGTCACCTGGGAGCCCTGGGGCAGGCTGCAGGTGACAGGTGTGCCTTTCTGTCTGCAGGTGTACAAGCAGAAGGTGAAGCACCTGCTGTATGAGCACCAGAACAACCTGACGGAGCTGAAGACTGAGGGCGCCGTAGCCATGAAGCTGGCGCAGAAGGAGCACCGCGTGCAGGAGGGCGCCCTGCGCAAGGACATGCGGGTGCTCAAGGTGGAGCTCAAGGAGCAGGAGCTGGCCGGCGAGGTGGTGGTGAAGAACCTGCGGCTGGTAGGTGTGCGGGCCTGGGGCCAGGTGTGGGGCGGGGAGCCTCAGGCTGCCAGATTCCTGGTTAGTCCACAACGGGAATCCATGTTTCTGGGTCAAAACTCCTGCATTTTTGTAATTCATTGAAACACACACAGCCCATGATCAAATAAACCCTATTTCAGGGCCCAGTGCAAAATTTTCGACGTCCTTGGAGGAAACTCCAGCAGAGGACCTGTCCTCTGTGCCATGCGCCTGGCCCTGCACACTCTGTGGGGAAGGCCGGCCTCCTGGTCTGGGAGAGAGGCTGGCAGTTTCCAGGTGGGGCCTGAAGCTCATTGCTGAGTGTGCGCCTGTGGCCCATGACTGGCTGGTCCTGCAGGAAGGGACAGAGGTGCACAGGGCTTGGGACAGGACAGCTGTGGCAGTGCTTGCGGCATCACGGGGATGAGTATGGGGCAGAACGGAGAGCTGGGCTGGAGCTGCGGGCGGGCAGGGGCCGCAGAGCTCTGAGGTTGCCTTGTTGAGAAAGCGGACGTTTGGGCAAAGGCAAGGTGCCCTGAAGACTGGGGGCGCCGTAGCCATGAAGCTGGCGCAGAAGGAGTACTGTGTGCAGAAGGATCACCTTGCTGAGCTAGGTGGCCAGGCCCAGGGAGGCCAGCAGGGAGAGGACAGGTGAGTGAGCAGGCCCAGGGAGGGTAGCCCAGGGAGAGGGACAGGAGGGTGGGCAGGCCCGGGGAGGGCAGCCCAGAGAGGCAGCTCAGGGAGAGGATAGGCAGGTGGGCAGGCCCGGGGAGGGCAGCCCAGAGAGGCAGCCCAGGGAGAGGGACAGGCAGGTGGGCAGGCCCGGGGAGGGCAGCTCAGGGAGGCAGCCCAGGGAGAGATACAAGCAGGTGGCCAGGCCTGGAGAAGCCAGCCCAGGGAGGCAGCCCAAGGAGAGCGATGGGTGGGTGGGCAGGCCTGGGGGGGCAGCCCAGGGAGAGGGATGCGTGGGTGGGCAGGCCTAGGGAGGGCAGCCCAGGGGGGCAGCCCAGGGAGAGGAACAGGCATGGCCTCAGGGGCAGCCCAGGGAGAGGGATGCGTGGGTGGGCAGGCCGGAGGATCAGGGTGCCCACTGGCTGGCTGTGTGGCCTGAGAGCCCCCGAGAGGCTGGGCTGCTGGGTTGAGAAGCAGCACTGTGCTTCCTGCCTGGCCACTACCTAGCCCAGCAGACCCTGGAAGTCCTAGAGGCAGTGCCACAGCGGGCGGCTGTGGCCTTGCTGATGGCTGGGCCCTCTAGAGTGACCTGAGAAACACTGAATAGCTGTTTTGAAATTCATAAATCCGAAGCCTGGTGTGGGGCTGTTACATCCTAAGAAGTCCTTCCTTTGGGGAACATGAGTTAATTATTTTTTTTTGGTTCAAATGTTTACATAATAATTATTAAAGAAAAGAATTATTCTTTTTGAATGCTGCCTAATAAGCAGCAGTGAAGTGGGTTTGCAAGAGCTGGAAGAGGCTGTGGAGAGACCTGCGGCTCCTGTAGATGCAGCTGCTGCCCTGTGGCCTGGGAGCTCACGTGTGTGAAGGTCTCTTGGACCCAGGAGCAGCCTCGGTAGGGATGTGAGCTGCGGACAAGGCGACCAGTACCATGACCAATACTGCGCTCTCTTGGGCATGTTTTGTGGGCTCAGACTTGAGGGGAGTGCGAAACCCAGCAGCGAGCAGCAGGAGCACAAGCTAGGGCTGGGGTCCTCACAGGGTGGCAAGGGTGAGGGACAAGCTGTCCAGTAACCTCCTACTCTTGCCTGTCCAGAAACACGCCGAGGAGATCACCAAGATGCGGAGTGACTTTGAGAGGCAAGTCCGAGGTCAGTTTCCCACATGTGCACTGGGAGGCACATGTGAGGACCCCTGTCAGAAAGTCAGTGCCCAGGATGGGGCGTAGTGGTGGTGCACGCCTGTAATCCCAGTGCTTGGGAGGCTGCAGGCAGGAGGCTCACTGTGAGTCCCACCTGTGCAGTGAGACCCTGCAGACCCTGTACTAAATACATTTAAAAAAAAAAAAAAAAAAAAAAAGTAATTGCCCAGACACTTGCTAACTCAGTTCTCAGCCAAAACGGGAGAGCCCGCTGCCAGTGAATGAGGAGTTCCTAAGGCCTGGAGACCGCTCGGAATCGCAGCGTGACCTGTTCCCGTGTGCGCTCAGGCGCTGTGAATACTGCACACTTGCTGCCGTCTGAGGTCGGCGGAGAGTGGGCAGTGGCTCTTCCACCGTGCGAGTAACATTCTTAGAATAGTCCTGGCTCCTGGCCGAGAAGGCTCAGTTTCAGTCTGGCTGGTTCCTAGCCCAGGCCTGGCACCTGTGGCTGGACAGCTGCCGTGGCTGGTGCCTGCTGGGCTCAGCTGACAGCTAGCAGAGAGCCCCATGCAGGCGTCTGCTGCTGTGCCCGACACTGGTGAACAGGCCGACAGCGGCCCAGGGGTGAGTGTGTCGCTTGCGGGCAGCACAGGCGGAACCCTCCGCGTCCCCGTCCGGCTGGGCCCGGCCGGCTGCGGGCAGCACAGGCGGAACCCTCTGCGTCCCCGTCCACCTGGGCCCAGCTGCCTGCCTTTGCTCTGACCACCGTTGCTGTGGGCCCAGGCACTGGGTACGGAGTCCCTCTGTCCGTGGAACCACTGCTGCTTGTGCTTCCTTTGCTGAGCTGCTGTGTGTGCTGCTGCCTTTCAGAAATTGAGACCAAGTATGATAAGAAGATGAAGGTGCTAAGGGACGAGCTTGACCTAAGGAGAAAGACCGAGATCCATGAGGTGGAGGAGTGGAAGAACGGCCAGATCAACACCCTGATGCAGCGCCATGAAGAGGCCTTCACTGACATCAAGAACTACTACAACGACATCACACTCAACAATCTGGCCCTCATCAACTCACTCAAGGTGCCAGCTGGGAGATGGGGGACTCTGCGCCTGGCCTCGCATGGGCTGCAGAGCCTGGGGTCACGGAACTAGCTCTCCATAGATGGAGAAGGTGTGCACCACCTCAGGTGGGGGCTGTCCGCACCCAGAGCTGCGGTTGGGATGCTTGTGTCACTGTGGGGAGTGTGAGGAAAGGCGCGGTCCTGAGGCGAGCAGATACACACAGGCGGAGCTGCAGTAGGCATCGCCCTGTGGCCCCGGCAGCCAGCGTGGGCAGTTACCCTTGTCCCTGGATACTGGCAGTGCAGGTTGTCTGCAGTGGAGAATGACCTTGGTGACTCTGAGCGTGACCCAGTCTCTCAGTTTGCTGCATCCTAGAAAATTCAGACCAGGTTAAGACTACAAAAACACGCCGGGCCTGGTGGCACACACCGGATGCCTGGCACTCTGGGAGGTTGAGGCAGGAGGATTGAAAGTTTGATCTCAGCCCAAGAAACTCAGTGACTTAATGAGACCCTTTCTCAAAATTAAAGAGGATGGGGCCCTTTCAGCTGGAACCACTATCTCCCAGTAATTTGCCAAAATGACCAAAACAAGGGGCAAGAGGAGGGGAGCCTGGTATGTGTTCTCTAGGCCTTTTATAAAACATGGGTTGTTCCTTTGGCCACAAGCAGGCACATCTACATAAGGGTGACATTGTAGACATCAAGGGAAGGGGTTTAGTGCAAAAGGAACGCCTGCCCAGAGAGGCACGCTCCGTGAGAACGGGAACGCAGTGGCGGGGACCCGCTCCTTAGCCATTCACGGCTGCAGCTCTGCCGTTCAGCACCTACTTGGCACAAAGCGTTGCAGGTCCCACTTGGAAGTAAGAGTCACCCTGTGTTGGAAGGGTGGTTTTCTTGGTGTGGCAGAGTTTTACCTCAGCAATACGGGGAGCGGATTTTCACTGTACCTAGTAATTGGCCTAGTCTTTACTCTTCAGTGTTTTTCTTGCCAAAAGATATTGCTGAGGTATTGTACATGTGTATACCCAAATATTCAAGTATTTATAAAATATTTATATTGGCTTGAAGATCCTATAAATCACCATGGGGAAAAGATGTGTCAAAATAAATGGATGTCACTTCAGTTGAGCAAGTGCAAGTTCATTTCAGTTAAACAAATTGTTTAAGGGCCAGTGAGATAGTTCAGTGGACTAAGTGCCTGCTTAGGCAAGCACAGGGACCAGGGTTCCATCCTCAGCACCACGTGCTGTGCCTGCCCTGCCCTTGGGTGTGCTGAGCCAGTCTGGGCATGGTGGCACACACCTGTAACCCCAGCACTGGGAGGCTAAAAACAAGATCACTGCAAGTCCGAGCTGCACAGTGAGACCCTGTACCAAATACATAAATTATTTAAAGCACCTGTAAAAAAATAAAATTCAAAAAAAAAGAGGGTAGGGCTGAGGATGTGGGTTAGTGTGAAGGTTCTGGGTTCAGTCCCAGTACCAAAACCACAGAAGTCTGTCTACACGTGAAGCAAGCCTGGGTTCTGGTGTGGGTGAGGCCGGCAGGACCTGTCTGTCCCAGGCCCCAGCCCCTCTGCACTCTGCCGCATCACAGGAACAGATGGAGGACATGCGCAAGAAGGAGGAGCACCTGGAGCGGGAGATGGCCGAGGTGTCCTCGCAGAACAGGCGCCTGGCGGATCCCCTCCAGAAAGCCCGGGAGGAGATGGCTGAGATGCAGAGGAAGCTTGGAAACTATGCAAGGGACAAGCAGATCCTGACGGTGTGTGTCCTGCCCGGCCCCTCCTTGGCACTGCTATCCTGCACTTAGGGAGAAGCACACAGGTGACATCTCGGCCTGCCAGCCCCACCCTCAGCAGGAAGAGAGAGGCCGGGAGGCTGGCTGTCCTTGGGGGACTGTGCGGGCAGCCCCATGGCGCTGCTGCAGGAGACAAGGGCTCCTGTTCTGCGGCCGCACGTCGGCCTGCGTTGCCCCGGGCGGTGCTTGCAGTCCTGCCGCCTCCCAGGTGCCTGTGTTTGAGCGCTGGGTGCTCCCTGGCCCATATCCTGTCTCCTCCCTAGAGCACGAAAGCACGTTTGAAGGTTACTGAGAAGGAGCTGAAGGACCTGCAGTGGGAACATGAGGTGCTGGAGCAGCGCTTCCTCAAGGTGAGGCCACGCGGGTCCGGGTGGGCTCCGGGCCGGAGACTGAGCCGCCTGCTTCCTACTCCTGCAGCTTTTGTAAGGCCAGGTGTCTGCCAGGGCCTCAGAATTAGTGCGGCTTGAGCAGGGGCTCAGGTGGGAGGTGGCTTCTCCCGGGGAGACGGTGCCTGCTGAGGGGCCCCACTCCAGCCTCAACCTGCAGGTGCAACAGGAGCGGGATGAGCTCTACCGGAAGTTCACAGCAGCCATCCAGGAGGTGCAGCAGAAGACCGGCTTCAAAAACCTATTGCTAGAGCGCAAGCTGCAGGCCCTGAACGCTGCTGTGGAGAGGCGGGAGGTGCAGTTCAATGAAGTGCTAGCAGCCTCCAACCTGGACCCCTCTGCCTTGACCCTAGTGTCTCGCAAGCTTGAGGTAGGTGCAGGATGGGCTCCTGCTTCCATGGGCCGTCACCTGTGCCGTGCCACCTGCGAGGGCACAAGGGCCCCTGCGTGTGCTGCAGTCTCCTCTCAGTGCTGCTGAGGGCTCCTCGGTTTCCTAGCCCTACTTTTTTTTGGTATCGGGAATCGAATTCAGGACTCTGCTGCCAGGCAGGTGCTTGTGCTGCTGAGCTACATCCCAGCCCTCTAAGGCCTGCTGCCTTATGACCTGCAGTCTCTGCCCTCCAGCTGTCACGGGTGGCTTGGGGGTCGGGCATGGCCTAGGTGTGGAAAAGTTGTTCTCAGAACTCTGGCTCTGAGCTCCCTGGCCACTAGCCAGGCCTAGCAAGGCCAGCGATGGTGGCAGCGCCTAGAGGCCCCCAGGACACACTGGCATGGGGCAGGGATGGTTCCTAGGGACCAGGGGAGGCGTGGGCACGCAGGTGCCTCGGAGTCTGCTGCAATGTGGGTGCGTGGAGGTGAGGCCTGCCCAGAAGCCGGGCACTCGCTCCTCTGTGTGGTGCTGCTCCACAGGAACTGTGCTGGGCCTGGGCAGGGACAGCAGTGAATAAAGCAGAGTAGCCTCGGCCCACTGGCCACCTGGGGAGACAGGTGCGCTCAACAGCTGAAGGCTGCAGGCTGGAACACGCACACAACCCCTCTGTCGCCAGCTTGTGGAGCTTCTGGTGCTGGACTGTCTCCCTGCTCTTTCCCTGCAGTGGAGAGTCCCAGAAACAGGTGACAGTGTGTGTCAGCCCTTTGGCTGACATTGGAGTCTCGGCCATTGGGGGTGCCTGGTATCTGCCAGGACCGTGGCTGGTGCCCAGTAGGCCCAGTGTGGCTTCCCAGGGCCCCTGGAGACACGTTGACTCCCAGACATGCCGACCACTCTCAAGTTGGAAACAGCTGGTCCTTAAGCCCCGACAGCCAACTGGTCTTAGGGAAAGATGCTTCAGCACGTGGCGTCTGTCTGTGTGCGTGTGCACTGTGCTGGCCAGAGGCAGATGTGGGCCCTCGGCTTAAGGCTTCCTCGTCTGCAAAGGGGCTTTTACTGGGCACGGGCAGGATTTCTTTTTTCTTTAAAGGAAAAAAAGATTATTTAGGTTGAGGATTTTTGAGGTTGCGATCCATGACCTCCTGGCCTGTGGTGTTGGGCTGTGGGAGGGGTATGTGCTGGAGTAGAGAACCAGGAAGCATTCCCGGGGGTCTGCCGCATGCTTCAGCTGGACTCGCAGCCACTCTGCCCCCAGGCCTGACACTGTAGCTCTGTGACCCGTCACTGGAGCTGCACTCACAGCTTGCCCACCTCCCTCTCTGCCTATGTCCTGTCCCAGTTGAGGCCTACAGCATGGGATGTCCTGAGTGCCCCTCTCTGCCCCTGAGGAGCCTCTGGGCCTGGGGGTGCAGGACCAAAGGCCACTGCAGAGGACCTGTCTTCTGTGTCCTAGGTGTAAGGCCAGTTGGGAGCCACGGAGTATTTGGGCATACTGGAGTGGATCGGGGAGAGCCCTCTGTGCCCCAGGCAGAGACTCAGCACAGGGTGGCTGGGCAGGGCCCAGCCGCCACAAGCCAGCCTAGTAGGATTTGCCCCTGCCTGGGAGGTTGGCAGGGCCCAAGGTGACATCCATGTGCTTCCAGCCAGGTGTGGTGTCACTTACAGGTCACTGGGATTGGGGGCTTGGCTCTGTCTTGCTCCTTGCCAGCCCCCATCCTAGGCAGGTAGAGAGGGAGGCCCTGGAAAGCAGAGGGGCTGTCCCAGTCCTCAGGAGAGGCAGGCCGATCCCATGCTGCCAGGTAGGTGGGATTTGGTGGCGAGAGGTAGTCGTAGCCACACTGTCACCCTAGTCTGGGCTGGTTGTAGGTCAGTCCTGCCTTTCCTAATTATGGGCAAGGGGCCTTCCAGGGAAGTGACAGTGTCCCCCTGTGGGGACACTCCTCAGGATGGGCAGGTCAGGGTTGAGGGGCTTCTCTGGACTCTGGAGCTGGCTGGGCCTGGTCTCAGGTGGCTCCCGTGGCACTCCACAGACAGGACCCTGGCAGCCTCCCCAGGTGGCAGCTCCCAGAGGCTGCGCTGTGCAGAACCAGCCTGCAGTGCTGGGGCCACTGCGATGACGTTTGATTGATTGATTAATTTGGCTTTTCTTGAGACAGGGTCTTGCTTTATAGTTGAGGCTGACCTTGAACTCACTGTGTGATCCAGGCTGACCTTAAACTCTCAGCAGTCCTGCCTCAGCCTCCTCAGTGCTGGGGTTACAGGCTGTGCCACCATCCTCCGCCACATGGTAAAGTTTTAAAAGTTAAAGAATACTTCTTTTCAGTTAAAAACAACTCATGCAGTGTGGTCGCACGGCTCCACGGGTGGCGTTCGGTGGTGAGTCTGCGGCCCGGCGAGTCTGGGCTTGGTCACCCTCTCCACTGTGCTGTTGGTTCTCGAGGGTCCAGGGCACATCTTCCAGTGGAGCTGCAGCGTGCTCTCGGGTTTCCGCCCTGCCTGCGCGCTGTGCTTGGCCCTGGGAGGCCTTTGGTGGCCGACAACTGTGTGGCTGGGCCGAGCCTGGCCATTATTCCCTGGACTCCTTGGGACCCTCAGGGAATCCAGACACAGCCACCCTGTCTGCCTCAGCAGGGACAAGACACAGAGTTGCTTCCTCCTCCTCTCCCTAGGATGTTTTGCAGTCGAAGAACGCCACCATCAAGGACCTGCAGTACGAGCTGGCACGGGTCTGCAAGGTATGGCTGTGCCTTCCCGCTCCGCCTCGGTCTGCCACGTCCTGCCTGGGGTGGGCCGAGCATTGCTCGGCCGGGCACGGGGTCTGGGGTCTGCCCAGCACCTGCGTGGGCCTGTGCCTGGAGCTGCTTGCTGTAGTGTTTCTCCTTGCTCTGAGTGCTGAGCCATAGAGGTTTCACCAGGTGCAACTGCACCACAGTGTGACCCAGTGGCAGCCTTGCTGCAGGTGGACTCCATCCCGGGCTGTTGTCGACTATGCCCAGACATTCCTGTTATCTGTTCTTTTTAATGCGGTGCTGGGGATTGAACCCAGAGGCACTGTACCACTGAGCTATGTTCCATGTCCTTTTTAAATTTTAACATTTTCACAGTGTAAGTTGCCCAGAAACGTGTAGTCCTGGCTCAGCCTCCCAGGTAGCTAGGATTATGGTATTGCATCGTGGGATGTAGCTCACTGGTTTGGCACTTGCCCAGCATATGCAAGGCCCTGGAGTTTTGAGGTCCCAGCACCTTAGAAGCCCTGGACACAGACAGCACCTGCCATAGCTCCTAGGCCCCTTGGTGTGAGTCGCCGTGTCCCTCAGCCTTCCCCAAGCTACAGGCTAGCCCCAGCTTCCTGGCTGCCCGTCTTCCTTTCTCTTTGATGTTAATATTTTTCTATACAGAATGAGGGTCATCTGCTCTATGTGCAGTTTTTTGGGGGATAGCCATGACCTTCATCTGAGTCTTGGGGGGTCTGGACCTCAGAGGAAGGGGAGAACCAGGGCCCTCCACTTCTGTCTGGAGCCTGACACTGCCCACACTAGGTCTTAGCCTGAGGACTCTTTCGGGACCCTCTGGAGGGTAACTGGCCCTTTGAGCACTGCTCTGAGTTGGAACAGGCAGCTCTTAGATTGCTTAATTCATCAAACCTTTCTAAACACCCAGCAAACTGGCCTTTGTGAAAATGTATCTTTCAGTGGGGGCATGGAGGGACCTGACATGGTGACTAAGAGGGCACTTGCTGCTGGTCCCACCAGCTGTGCCCAGGCTTTGTCTCCTGGGGTGGCTGTGCCTGACCTCACCTTCCCCACACAGCCCTACACCTGTGAAGACAGTCTTGCTGGGACATCAGAGGGTTCTGCCTGCCAGGGCTGGGGAAGGGGCTGTGAACCTCCTTGATCAATGCCCAGGATGGCACCTAGAGCCCTGGCCTCAGCCCTTAAGGTCACACGTGTGCAGGTGTTAGGGCTGGGCCTGTGGTGCGTAGGAAACCACTGGCCGATGTTGGCTTTGCCTTTCACGTGGCACTGCTGTGTCGTCCCCTGCGCACCCCCAACTGAGCCCTGCAGGAGCCAGAGGGTGCTGGCCTCAGAGCCGGCCAGGTGGAAGAATCCTTGCTGCCTCCACTTTGTCCCCACAGGCCCACAACGACCTGCTGCGCACATACGAGGCCAAGCTCCTAGCCTTCGGGATCCCCCTGGACAACGTGGGCTTCAAGCCTCTGGAGACAGCTGTGATCGGGCAGACGCTGGGCCAGGGCCCTGCAGGACTCGTAGCTACGCCAACGTAGCCACCAGCTGCCGCGTGCTGCAGAACTGCCCGGCAGCTGCCCAGCTGATAACCCTTTCACATCAAGGACAAGAAGATTTTGTTTTTTAGAGTTCAACAGCAGCAAATGAAATTTTCTTTAGTTTGCTTGTTTTTCTCTTGCCTGCCTCTGTGGAGGAGACCTCCTGCAGCAGCTCGCCCCTGGTGTCTGATGTGTGCTATGGCCACCCCTCCCAGCCCGCCCCTGGCTTCAGTGGCTCTGTGGAGGACCCCTGGGCATGCCGGCCCAGGGTGGTGCACTGTTCCTGGCCCAATGCCAGAGCCACTTTGCAGATGCCAGTACTGACTTCATTGACTCCTGAGTCATGGCTACCCCCTGCGACACTCCAGGGCCCCAGGAAGGACCTCCTCCAGGAAGCTGGGGTCCTAGTGCCCTGTGATGAGCAAGGTGTCCCTCTGCTGTGGGCGGGGCGGACGGCCTCTCCTGGCCAGCTCTAGCTCCCTCGGTAGGTGGTATAGGACCACGGGCTCAGCAGCAGCGGCACGTGGTACTTCTGAGTCTCGCTAGTGACGGTGAAGACAATCTGAGAGAAGCAGAGATGGCACTGGAAGACAGTGTGAGATCACAGCCTGCAACGTGCCGCAGCGCTTCTGGGAACGCTAGCAGCCAGGCTGTAGGATGGGGTCAGCTGGAGCTTATTGGGGACGGCCTTCTTCCCAGGGGTCCCAGGATCGGCACGCCTCCTCCCTGGAGACGGGGCCAGGGAGGCTGGAGCCCAGGCTTGCTGGATGCCAAAGGGCCAGGTTCTTTGATGGGAGCTCCAGGTGAGGGGAGGCAGAAGGGCGAGGCCCAGGAACTGCAGTATGGACAGGGATGAAAGCCTGCCTACAAAGGAGGGTGAGTCACCCTAGGGCCAGCCGGCTGGCCGCCTCCGAAGGCCAACCCTGGGGCGGCTCTGGAACGGGCATGCCATCGAGGTGGCCAGTGTGCCTCTGGTCCCTGGACACCTTTCTTCTGAGAGGTCAAAGTAGGTGAGCTCACCTGCCTGTCTCTACCCAGGAAGAGGTGGGACCCTTCTGCCTGTAGTCTGGACGAGGCCGGACCCGCAGGACCTGATGGGTAGTTGCAATGGCGGGAGCCTCCACCCGTCTGCAGTCCTCACCTCTACACGGGTAGAAGCTCTCTTGCCCCGTCTTCTTCCAGTAGCCCTCAGTGTCAAATGACAGCTTGTAGGGGCCTGGCTTCACCTGGCTCGTTCCCAGAGGGCCAGGGCAGTGGCCATCCGCGTCCGTGTAGCTGGGGAGAGAAGACAGGACTGCAGAGGTGGGAGGAAGAATGGCTCCCCACCTCTGGTCTGCACCCCCAGGCCCAGAACCCCTCACAGCCTCATGCCGATGGGCCACAGGTAGGGGCCGCCTCGGGGACACTGCTCCGCTGCCTATTAGGAAATCACAGCCCAGAAGAGCCTGAAGGGGACATGCCTTCCACAGTACCCCTGAACAATAGTTCCTACGTTTGGTGATATATTTTTGTAGATTTTTCTTGATGTTTAAGTATATTTATAATTTTTCTATAAAACAAAATACAGATTATATGAATTGTGCTGTTTTATAATCTGCTTTTTATTTTTTGAGTCTTGCTGTGTAATTCAGGGTGACTTCAAACTCAAAGCAGTTGCTCTGCTTCAGCCTCCTGACTGCCGGTATTACAGGTGTGTGCCACCGTGCCCAGCTACATAACGTCACTTTTCATGTGTCTGTTGTACCTGGCTTTTGGTCAGACTCTTCCCAGGCCCCCTCTATGGCTATGTCCAGCCGCACTGCAGGCCAGCTGGGGCGGGCTGATCTCTTGTCCCCAGTGCTGACGTCTGGCACCCGTGGTCAGTTACCTTTGGGACCCTGTCACTGTGATCAGCTGCTTTTGTCTCTGAGGCAGCCTGGGAGACACACGTGCAGGCAGCGCAGGGACTGCCTGGAGGTGGGGCCCGGGCTTTGGCCCCCAGCTTTTGTGAAGGCTGAGGGGATGGAGGGAGAAAGTTGTACCCTCCAAACCTGTGGCCCCAAGGCCAGGGAGATGGCTCAGTGGAATAAGTGCTTCCCTGGCAAGCGCAAGGGCCTGAGTTTGATCCCCAGTTCCGCCAAAAAACAAACAAAAAACCCTGAGGCCCTTGTGCCGCTCTGAAATGGTACTGTTCCATCCCTGTTTTCAGATGAAGCCAGCTCAGCATTAGTAGGAAGGTCAGGCTGTGAGCTGAGCTGTGGGCTCCAAGCCAGCCCTGCGCTCGCTCGTCCCTCGGTGTCCCTGGGGAGATGGGAAGGGCCCTGCTGTGGGAGCTCTCACCTGCTTTCCCTCCCTGCCCTGGGGCCTCCTACCTTTCCCTCAGGGCTATCCACTGCAGGTCTGGATCCTCCAAGCGGGACAAATGGAGGCAGAGGCCCCAGGCTGGGAGCCCCAAGGTGGTGTCGGGCACATGTGGTCAGCACGCCCTGTCCTGACCCTGGGAAGGACAGCGTGAGTGCCTGGGGCCTGGGCACAGACTGCACCCCGGCCTGGCTCCCGGCCTGGATGCTCCGGCTTGTGAACAAGGCCCCAGCCCTCAGCTTTGATCTGCTGGTGGCGGTACTGAATCGATGATGGTTGTGCGACCCATAGGAGTTTAGCCCCAGGTAATTGGGGACCGGAGCCCCAAGGGTCAGGCCTGCCCCTTACCAGGTATGGGGAGCGCCCCTACCCCAGGCACAAGAGTGTGACAGGGTGCTGTGAGGGCGGGGCCTGGGGGCGGCACCAGGAGGCGGCAAAGGCAAGACCCAGAGAGTAGCAGTTTTTTTTTTTTGTTTGTTTGTTTTGGTTTTTTGTTTTTTGGGGCTTTTTTGGTGGAACCGGGGATTGAACTCAGGCCCTTGCACTTGCCAGGGAAGCACTTATTCTACTGAGCCATCTCCCTGGCCCGAGAGTAGCAGTTTTGAGAGAAGTCCCTTGCAAGGTGGGTAAAGTTTCCAGTTTGGCTAATCCAACAGGTCCCTCGCCCTGGTGCCCACGGGGTGGGAGGGCTGCGGAAAGAGCACAAACAAGTGAGGACTGTGTGTAGATGTGAACGCATCCCTATGCTCAGTTTGTTTGGGTGGGTGTTTTTTTTTTGGTGCCGGGAATCAAACTCAGGACCTTGTGCTTGCAAACGCTGCACCACGGAGCTATATCCCTGGCCCCCTGTATTAAAATTTTACAGGTGACTTGCCCTAAAAGATTTTGGTCTATTATGTAGCCTATAATATGCAAGGGAATTGTTTAAAATCTGGATCTCGTGCATTTAAGGTCATGATGTTGGCTGCCGGCTGTCTGGCTCTGGCGCACGTGAGCTTGCATTCCCCGCACTGGCGAAAGCCGCGGCTTCCTGAGACTGGAAACAGCAGGCCTGGCTGCCCCCCCCAGGACGGCTAAAGAAGCGCCCCTCGGGAAACGCCCCCCAGTGAGGGCGCAGAGCAGCGCGGGATGGCGGAGCCTAGCCAGAGCTGGGCGTGGTGCGACCCCTTAATCCTGCCTTGTGATCCATGATAGAGCTCTGAGGACAAAGTTCAGGGAGAACAAAGAAGAGGATGTTCACCTGGCGGCAAGCTGTTAGCCCAGAACAACCCATTTGTTTTTTTAGAACTGTTTTAAGAGGCCAGAGGAGGAAATCCTGTGCACCTTAAAGTTAGGATAACTGCAGCCTGCGACTGATCAGGACCTCATTATTTGCAGGGGCCAGGGGTTGGATCCCCGGCAGGCCCGCCCCGGGCGTGCTCAGACTGCGATTGAGACTGGCTGTGGTGGTGCGCGCCTGTAATCCCAGCTCTTGGGAAGCTGTAAACAGGCGGATCACTACAAGTCAGATCTAGTAGTGAGACCCTGAATACCCTGTAGACCCTTTGCTAAAATAAAAAAAAAAAAAAAAAAAAAGATCTCATAATTTAGAGGACTTTTTTT